TGAACTCGGTTCCATCCTAGGTGTGGGGCATACATATCTATTCATGGGACAGGGATTGGGAGTGGGAGGGCACCCTTGACCAGCCTCATCCCAGCTGGTCATGCTCATAGCAGAGATGCTAGAGTTCCCTAGGGTGGGCTTGGAATATTCCTCTCCCACCTCTGCCTCTCACAGGCCAGCTGCTTGCCCCAAACACAAAACACAAAACCCCCAAAGATTTATCCAGTTCTTTCACACCAAAGACAAAGAGAAACATTTGTTTGTCTTTTGGCTAATCTGTGGTCCTGCTCACCCCAGCAGCTGAGCTCTGGGCATGTGTAGGCATGTATTTATGTGTCTTCTTGCATGTGCTCATGTCTGTGGTAGTTGAGGCTGGACCATGAACTACAGGAACACACACAGTTAGGCCCTGGAGGCTGGGACAAAAGTCTCCCTGCCTCAGTGGTGGGGGTCCTGGGATCAAGATCTGGGAAATCCCTTTCTGATCTTCCCAATTCCAAAGGCACCTGAGAGTCCAGAATCCTGGATTGCACGGGGAGATGGGCCTAGTAAGCACCTAGAAGGCTCTGAAACCTGTGTTCTATGCTCAGAGAAGGCAAAGGCCAGGCATGAGAGGGCCTCGCCACCTCGTGGGGACATAAGGTACTCCTAAGGCCCTGGTCAGCCAGGCTGGAGGGTGGAAGAGGGTGAGTCAACCCTGCTGGACCTCCCACAGGGGGCTGGGTTGGTACTGTTTACCCTCATTGCCATGGGAGCGAGAGGCGAAGGGAGGAAATGCACCCACCACTCACCAGGGCAGCAGAGGCAGCCCAGGCTTCTGCAGGTTCCAACTGCAGAGACTGAACCAGATGCCACATAATGCAGCCTGACCACACTTGTCACACCTTAGAGGAAGGTTTACTGAAAGGAACTTTGGAGTTCATTTGCCCTAAGGAAATTGAAGTCCGGGGAAGGAGCAAGGCCTGGCTCAAGCCCTACATGAAGGCTCTGGAGCCTAAAGTTCATGCATTCTCCTGTAAATTCATGATGGGTTATCCACATGGAACCCCAGTTCCCGGCCCACCCCAGGAGGCCTGCAATAGGGGCAGAGCAGTAGGAGTTTTTGCCACAGGTCAGAAAGGGAAGGGTGTCTGGGCCACTTAGAGAGGAGGCTGCCAGTGGAGCTCCAGGACCATCTGGATCCTGATGCTGAAAGGTAATAATGTGGCCAGGCACAGGGAATACCCACCTGTAATCCCAGCAGCTTGGGAGACTGAGGCAGGAGGATTGTGAGTTCAAAGCCTCAGCAAAACCGAGGCACTAAGCAACTCAGAACTTGTCTCTAAATAAGATACAAAATAGGGCTGGGGATGTGGCTCAGTGATCAAGAGTTCAATCCCTG